TCAGCAGTTAACCTCATGAAGTTATGAACGTACGGCTGTAGCAAGGAAGTGTGCACAGATTTTCTTCACTGAATACAAAAGCAAAGTTTTACATTCTGACGTCACATTTGTTGTTTTGCCTTTCACCTACAATGTGCATATAATATCCTAACAAAGTCTAGGAGAATTTTCTAAGGACAGGCAGTGTTCCATCCATACTACATTTCACACCACCCATCACTCTCCTGTGACCATGGCAGAAAACGGCAGGGATCGGTCTCAAATCCGCTTGTCGTTTGCTGACAGATAACGATTAGCGATCAGACTCAACTCAGACAGAGCAGATTAGTGATTCAGTATGGGCTGAAATGCAAGATGTCACAACGCGTATCCTACAACATGCATTACCCACCAGGCTACCACCCTCCCTTCCCTTACAAAGTCCCCGTCCATCCTGGGCTTGTGTCCAAGTAGGCACAACCTACCCCCAGTTGTACCATTAATCTTACCCACAGAAGGTTCCACCATTTTCCCCAAAGAGCTAGGACCTATGCACTGGCTGTTACTGGGAGTAACGCATCTTCAAGCATTGAAGAGGTTACAGCTGCCAGCCAATGACAAATATGTAAAATACGTTTGCATGTAGCTGTAGAAGGTATGTTTAACCCTAACCCCCTCGCATGTATGTAAAATCGTATTGAAATTGGAGGATTTGGGACTGTTAGGGCTAGACATGAATTGTTGGAAACTCTGGGGATTTTGCCAAGCTGTGAGCTGTTTGTATTTTCTTCAGCCATGTACCATCATGTACCGGTATGCACAATGCAAAAATCTGGGCATGTTCCTTACAGTTTCCATTTTGAAGTCTTTTTATTCCAACACTCTGAGCTTACAATATACCGGTACATGTAGACCATACAAATAAAAACTGCCTGATGTGACTGATGGTTTCACGATCATCACAGTGCTTGCAGTGAATAAAGTATTCAACTTTCATTGATTCGTTTCCTGCTAAAGTTGAAATAGTAATCGCACATCCCCAATAATATGCTGCAGTGCCCTGGCTGTGGACCGATTTACAGTACTTCTTTTATCAGGAAAGTCAAGACGGAGTTGAAGAGATAAAAAAATTTACACAATGTTTCCGGTCCCTTTAACGTCTATTTCGGCATG